GGGGGGGGGGGGGGGTGGGGCACACCGAACAGGCGCATCCGTCGGAGCCCGCGAGCCTGGGCCGACGGTCTGGGGCCGCTCCATGTGGCCCGGCCCAGACGGACGCCCGGTACCTGAACGCCGAACGCCGGCATGAGCCTTCCCCATTCCTACGACCTGCTCCCACGTTCATTCGCCGGCACACCGACCACAGGAATGGTCGCCCGCGCCACGCACCCCCGTTGGTGTCGCAGGCCCCCCCCCCCCGCCCCCCCGCAGGAGCAGGCCGCCCTCCTCGCCTGGGATGGCCCAGACGTTTCCGTCGTCAAAACCGGCCCCGGATCCCGCCCCCCGCGCCCGACCCCCCCCTCTCCCCTGCGCTTGAAGAGATCTCGTCTCCCGGAGCACCGAGGCCGGAGGCCGAGGCGCTGGCCCACAGAAACCGTCACTGCCCTCGTCAGAGAGTGGGCCCGCCCATGAATCTCCACCCGCATCCCCGGCACGTTGGGCAGAGAGGGAGAGAGAGAGAGCGAGAGACACACACACACACACAGGCGCACACATAGAACGCATGCTGTTTCCGTCCCACCTCGCCGGAAATGCCCCCCCCCCCATTGCCCCAAGCCCGCCGGCGGCCAAAGAGAACTGGACCGGGAACGCCCGTGGCCCTCGCCCCCGGGCCCCATGACAGCCACATCACTTTGTGGCAACAGCCCACGGATCTGTCTCAGAACCTCCCACAGCCGAATAGCCGGGCCCCCGTTCGAGTTGCCCACCGCCCCGTCCCGCCCCGCCCCGTCCCGCCCCGCCCCGTCCCGCCCCCCTGGCCCGGCGCAGGCAGGAAATATGGCGCTACACCGGCGGCCGCGGCTCAAGCAGATCCCAACGCAATCTATCAATCCGTCGGCATCATGCCGCCAGTTGCATTCCTTAATCCAGACAGACGAAGTGCATTCCCCCGGAGGCGGGCCATTAGATTAAGTAGCGCCCGAAGGACACGGCCACAGGCCGGTCGGTGGCGAAGCACCCGCCCGCCAGCCATTCCGGCTCCGGGATCAGGGTGCCTGGGGAGGAGGGCCGGGCCATGCCCCGGGCTGATGACGACGCCAGCGGATCGGCCACACGGCTGGGGCTCCCCCCGTCCTCGGGCGATGGCACGGCTGCCATGGGAATAGGAGATCCCGACTGGCCGGCTTCCCCGATGCCGGTGCTGCTCGGGCCCAGGAAGGCCGTGCTCTCATCGGCGGCGAGCTCCACCGCGCTGACCGGCACCACCCCCTCGGTCGGGTCCTCGGTCGCCGCCACAGAGCCAGCCAAATCCGGGCCAACCTTCAGGAGGCTGGCCTGCACCGTGCCGGAATCCGACACTTGGATGCAATCCTCCACCAGGCTGGTGCTACTGCCTCCTGCCAGCCCGGTGCCCAACTGAATGCTGATGCGAAAGCCCTCCTCCTCCGCCGCCTCGGCCTCCGGCGCCCTTTGGCCGGCGCCCTCCATCGCCGGGGGGGGCCTCCGGGCCGCCGGGGGGAAGAAGCCATCCTCCTCCGCCGGCCGGGGCGAGGCCTCCCGTCGCGCAGGGCGCGGCGAGGAAACCGTCACCACCTGCTCCCCGGTGTCGGGACCATCCTCCGGCAGGGCCACCTCTAGCACCGGGCGGAAGCGCTTGCGCGGCGAAGCCGGCGGGCTGGGGTTTCCCGCCCGGCCGCCGGAGGTGTGGGCCCGGACAAAGCGCATGGCACTATGGACCAGGGTAACGGCCTCCACCGGGCCCAGATCCAGGGCCTCCTGGCAAAAGCGCATTGACAAGCCCGCAAAGAGGAGTCCGCTGAAATGCCGTGCCCTTGGGAGGACACTTGGGTGAAGGGCCTGGAGGAGGCGCTTGCCGATGGCTTCCGGGACCGGGTGCTGGCGGGTCAACATCGGGGCATGCGTCTCGGCGCGGGGGACGGGCCTGACAGGAGGAGATAGCGAGAAGCGACCATGGCCATGTACACACCCTGACTTCGCAGCCCGGAGGAAGGGCCTGGCCGCCGGCCGGGCGCAGGCGCCTCCTCGTGGCGCCGTCCAATGTCCGAGGACAGATCTGGACAAAGCCACTCGTCATACAAACGCGAGTGGTCCCAGAAGTAGATGCTCGCGCGACCGGGGCCCGCCAGGCCACACACCTCCCGCGCAAGGAGCACCTGCAAGTGGGCCGCCTCCGCATGGGGGAGGCCCAATTCCCGAGCAACTTCGATGGTATCCCATTGCCAAAGGGCCCGGGCCAGGCTCATCGGCCCGCGGCCGAGTATCTGTTGGGCAGTCTTGCCCTTGAACCCCCGGTCAATCAACCAGAGGAAACTCACCTCCGACAGCGCGGACCCCCCCATGGCCGACGACGACGACGACGACGACGACGACGAGGGGAGGTGCCCTTCACTGGCGGCCGATGTACTGGGATCGAGGCTGCCTGCCAAGCTTTCACACCCGGCGCGGAGGAAAGCCCGTAAGCCCTCGCGCCCGGCGGAAAGCCGCTCATCCGACCAGAGCCAGGAGAAAAGCTCGCGAACGACCGCCAAGATGGCCGTCTCCGCCTGCTGGGCCTCCACCATCGCACGGGTATACTCAATGGCGGAGGCCTGGAAAGCCGCCCGGGCATGAGCGTCACCTGTGGTTGATTGGGGTCAGTCATTGGTTGTGAGACATGGCCGGGCCATGGGAAGGTGCACCCTGTCGCCCCGACGTACCCGCCAGCACCCGGTCCAATTCGCTGGACAGACACTCGTGCCGCCGCTGGGCCAGCAATTCGCATCGCAAGACCAAATGCTTCCTCGCGGTGTTGCACGATTGGATTTGCTCCACCATCCGGCGGATGTGCTCGCCGATGGCACTGGGTGTGGCAGGAGCTGCGGAGGGGCGTTGAGTGATCGTCCAGGAGCAAAGGCTGTCGCATCGAGATGGGGGCGAGGGCGGGGGGGGGGTACATACGCAAGGCGGGAGCTCGGTGAGCATATTCCAGGAACACCTCCGGAGACATGGGCTCCGCAATGCTCGAGGCCAGGCGGATGTCGCCCGAGCCCTGGCTCAGCCGACCTGCTGCTAGGCCAGAAGAGGGGCCCATACGGGTCGGAGTGCCTTCGCCTTTGACGGCATCAGCCGCACCCGCCAGCCTGCCTACGAGGAGATCCGGCGAATCGAGTGGCGTCAGCCTGCAGCCCGGAGGCCCGGGCTTATCACTCAGGGGTGTATGTGGTCCGGGAAACAGCTGAAGAAGGGCATGCTCATGGACGGTCGGCGGTCCCCCGCATACGCCTGGCAGGAGTAGAGGGGCTGTGAGCACCAACAGAAGGACCGATCCATGACCCGGGGAAAGACACAGCGACACTGGCAAACATATGATCATACATACCGGCCAGTTGAATCGGCAGGGAAGGGATGGCGGCGGACCGTTTGGAGAAGCGCTGTAGCTCGGTGATGCTAACAGTGAAGGCTGGACGCCGGGGAGGGGGAACCGGGGGGAGGTGAGCTATGCACGCGAAAAGGCCGACTCCTCCACAGGGGGTAGACTACGCACGATAAATGACCAGGCGGTTGAGGCCACGGAGGAGGCTGTCATCCAGGGCGTCGAGGCTATTTTCATGCACAACTAGGGGGACAAGAGGCGTGAGAGGTGTTCTCACCTCGCCGGCGGGGAGAACGGGAGACGGAGGACATGCTCCTCGACGTACCTCCATGGTATAGGACAATGCGGGCGCCACGTCCCTCCGGCCCACCATGAAGAGTGACCCATCGCAAGGAGCTAAGAAAACGCAGAAAAAGCTCCTCCGATGAGAAGTGCGTCACTGTTGTGCGATGCAGGCAGGGGGGGGGGAGGGGGGGGATCGAGCAAGGGCCCGACCGAGAATTCCCGCAGGTAAGGCAGCTGTCGGGTATGGTGGGGCGAGGCGGGGGGAGGGGGGGTGGGTCGAGGCTGAGGCAACACGCACGCCGGGTGCGAAGGTAGAGCGTAGAACCACGGAAGCCCCGCAGGGCACGATCAACCGTCGAGAACACGGACTCGGTGATGGTACACTCTTCCATGGTGGCGAAGATGTAAGCTTCAGGGGGTGCCATTTCGTTGGGAAGATCGCGAAGGGAGACGTGGCGCTCGGGTGAAGAAGGCGGAGAGAACGCGCAAGAGAGGGGGGGCGAGGGGGGGGGGACAATGCGGTAGACATACCCGAGAGAAGGAGCGCCTCGCCGCACATGACCGGCGCCGGGGGCGCGCCCGGGCGCGATGGAGATGGCTCCGGGCTGCCGGGGTGTATCGACGTGTCGCCCTGTGAGAAGCCGCAGAAGCTTCGCCAGATGGATGAGCCCAGGATGGAAACCAAACGCCCTCGGATGCCAGTTCCCTCGACGGCCACATGCTCGATGCTGTCGCTCATGGAAAGGGCGTCTTTGGAAATAAGAGCATGGCCGCTGGCGTCCGTCAAGTGGCTGTTGTTTGCGAGGGATATCCACTCCAAACAGGGGTGCCGGCCGAAGGCCGGGGCCAGATGGCGCACATCGTCATCCTGGAGGTCACATCCTGCATGTGGCAGCCATCGGTGAGAATGGGCTCTTTGCGCGACGTGCCGACTGTGGCAGGGTCGTCAAGAAACGCACCGGAAAGGAACAATCGTCGCAGAGTGACATCCTCGGCGAGGAAGGCGGCCAGGAGATGCGCGCCCTGGCCGCCAATGCGCGTATCTTGCCATAATGAGAGACATGGTGTGAGGCAGAGGCCCACCTGCAGATGCGGCGTGCGGGCAAATACACAGGCCGAGAGGGATCGCGGTGGCGGGAAAGACACATGGGGGGACATTTCAGCGACCTGCGCACCGGAGAGAGAGAGCACTGCGAGTCCTCCTGGCCGTCGGAGGACTAGGCTGGATAGGAGCACCCGAAGGGTGACCGCATCGAAGAGTGGCCCTATTTGAGAGGTGTCACTAACGAGAGCTGATGGGGGGGGGGCGGAAGGCCGGCGGGCGGGATGGTTCATGCCAATTTCGGGAGACGAAGCGGACCTGATATCTGGAGCTCACGCAGGCCGCGGACGCTTCCTGCCAGGCGACAAATCTCAAACAACTGGCTCACGTCAAGGGTCGGCTGGTCTGGGGAGATGGCATAGCAAGACAGTCAGGTGCCTCAAGCTCCTCGGTGTGAAGGAAGGTCTTCTGCCGGGAAAAGTACCACGCAATTGCAAGCGAAAAAGCGGCAAGGGAGAAAGGCGTCCCTGGAGAAGGCGGACCACGCACTGAGTATGGAGAGGCGTGTAATGGGGCTGGCGGTGGTGCCTTCGGCCGACTGTTCCAGGTACCGAATCAATCGGCTCGCCTGCCGGTGATCGAGGACTGAAGAAGGGGGGTGAGGCCGAAGTTAGCGCTCAACGAGAGCCGGAGCAGGTGAAAATGGCCGGTACCCAGCAGCACCAGGGGGGGGGGGGGGGGGGGCTTCGCGCACATTGACCGCGGCTGCCATCGAACCTGGCGGTTGGTCCAAGAGGCGGCAAACCATCGGCCGACTGAGCAGGCCTACCGGGGCTCGAAGTCGGCATCGTAGTGTGGGAGTCGCTCGAAGTCGCCGCGAGGAGGGCGGCCACGGCGGAGAGGGGAGAGTCGCGCCCAGCTGATGCAGGGGAAGAGCAGGGAGGGCAAGTTGGAAGGGTGCAAGGTACGAGGAGGTTTGGTTGCCCAGTGTTGACACAAGGCCCAGCTCCAAGGGCAGTGGGAGGCAGCCGAAATGCCGCGAGCCCGAAAACCCGTCGAGATCTCCGAGGTGAGGGGCGCCGCCGGGCACTAGGCAGGGGAGGGTGCTGGCGGGGACCGGGGGGTCGTCCAGAGGGGGAAATGGATCCCCTGGACAGGAAAAGGTGGGCATTGCATTGTCCCCCCCCCCCCCCTGCCTGCCGCCCCCGCCTCGAGGATAACCGGGGGCTGGCCTGACGCGATGCCGCGCAAAAGGGGGCAAGGAAATGGCGGCCGATCGCACGGGCGTGCGGGCTCCGTGCCAGGGGGCCGGAGAATCGAGTGTGTGTGCATGTGGAGGGCATGTGATCTGTGTGCGGTCAGCGCCGCGTGCTTCCTCCCTCTGGAACGGTATTCTCTCGGACCGAGGCCGACCCTGAGCCTCTCTCTCCAGCAGGACCTGGCCGGGGACACCGGCCGGCCTCGGGCAGCCTCGGGCGGGGGAGGGGCAATAGAAATACTCGCGCCTGTGCCTGTGTGGGTGGGGACCGCGAGAGTCTGTTCCTTGGCTCCCCCCAGGAAGGGCGCCCGTGTCCGCGGGGCCACTCCCAGGGTGGGTGTATCGGCGAGAGCGCGCCGATAAAATCCTGCCTGGGGCCCTGCCGCGCGAGCGTGCGGACTGTCGCCGCGAGTGCAAGAGCCCCGAAGATCGCTGACTCCAAAGGTCCTGCACAGGAAGGGCGGTCAGCCATCGTAGGTGCCTCTCAACCTAGGTCCTCTCGAGGTGGGGGTCCCGTTCTCTGGGCGCCCTCGCACGATCGGACAGCCCCGCGGAGAGAGAGAGAGAGAGGGAGAGAGAGAGAGAGAGAGTGCAGGGCGTCACCACGTCCCCAGAGGGCAACTGCCGCAGGAGGCGTGTTGGGGGTAGAGAGCGCAGACCAATTTGTTTTCGTGGCCCGCGTCCACGGAACCTCCATGCATGGGGGGGGGAGGGGGGTGAGCGCTCTCCCTCCGAGGGGCCGGAAGAGAGGGGGATCGGTCCGCGTCGAGGGGCGCCCCCAATCGGTGATGCCGCCGTGAGGAGGACGATTAATTGACGGTGCGGCCACCCCCGGGGGGATCCACGCCAGACACTGACAACGGGGCGTCTGGTGGCCGAATGTGGAATTACACCTCGTTGTGCAGATAACTGCATCCCTGAGGCCGAAATGGGCCACTGGAGCGGAACGCTCCCCCTGGAGGCCATGACGCAGGCGGATCAACGGCTTCTGGAACGTAGGCGAGGGCCGGGGCGAGGGCGAGGGGGCGGGGGGGGGGGG